AAAAATCGTTTTACCACAAAGAATATTTGATATTGGTGATCTGGTGTTAATAGAGAATGTCAAAAGAGATAAATTAAGCGCAGATTGGAAAGGACCAGCCACTATCGTTAGCGTTAAGAATAACAATAACTATGAAGTATTAATCAATAATGAAAGGCAATTAATTCATTCTAACAGATTAAAACCTTACTATAATTAATTACAGGCAAACATGAGGATCATATTATGGGCAATGTTAATACTTGGTACTAAAGGTGAAGTCCATCTGAAAAAACTAGAGGACACTACCATCTTCGCTGAAAACCTTGGTGTCACTAAATTGTTCCACGAAACTTGGAAGCTGATTTTAGGAATTGATACCACGAACTTTCATACACGGCTCTCGCAAATTTCGGAAATTTACTCACAAGCTTCAAATTTATGCAACAACTGTTCGGAAAAGTACGAATTAAATCTCCTCAGAAATAGAATAAATAGACTAGAAAACTCGAAATTTCTCTTAAACCAAATACTAGGACAATCACGGCATCGTAGAGGTCTATTTAACTTTGTAGGGTCAATTTCAAAAACTCTATTTGGGTCACTAGATGATCATGACCTACAAATTATTAACAATGAATTTGATGCTATTTATAAAGATAGTAACATAATGGCTGAATCAATAGGAAATCAAACTCGAATAATAAAAACATTACTAAATAGTGCTTCACACGATTTAAAAATACTTAGCGAACAATCTCACAGTCGTACTCAACAAATTAATGAAATAATAAATTCAACAAATCAGAATCAAAAAAACTTATTAATCAGTAATCTTATCTCTACTATCGAAATTGCCGTAGCCGAATACAGCGAAGACCTTAACTTAGTTATTGACGCAATAAATGACGGAAAACACGGCATCATTCATCCTCAAATCCTCACTCCAGAAATATTGACACAAGAACTTCGACAAATAGAAGAAACCAATAACCAAAAATACCCTATTAAATTAACTATCGATAATTATCAACATATTGTTGATATCTCAGAAACGACAATTGGAATCATTAATAAAAGACTAGTCTACATTTTAAAAACCCCTGTATTAGAACACGAAGATTTGCAAACATACCATCTTATTCCTATTCCTATTCCACACGGAAAAAGTTTCATCGCTCCTATCCCTTCTCACGAGGTAGTCCTAACTAATTTCGAAAAGAACATTTATGTACCTTCTGATATAAACACAATAAACTCCTGTAAAGAAATCGACGAAATTCGAATCTGTAAAAGAAAACAACCTAGTTATTTTATAAGTGAAAATCACTCATGCGAAACAAGCATCATTAGACGGCAAAGTAAACATTTGAATAACGATGTATGCCAATTTTCGGCATTTAGAATTTTAGAGTTAGTTTTTATCCCACTAAAAGATCCAAACCAATATATATTGATTCCTGAAATACCTTTTGAAATGAATGTATGGTGTGGTACTAGTACACAAACCATTAAACTAGATTCTGCCAGTTTACTATTTAGCGACGAAGATTGTATTATACAGACTCCTAAATCTCTCTTAAAACTAAGAAAATCAAAAGTTCGGAACACCGATATTTTGTTTAAAAAGAATGTAACATATAAATTAAATATCGAAGATATTAACTTATTAAGTAACCAATTACCACTAGTTCAGGAATCACTACGACATGAAAATTTTAAAGATTTACGTCAAAGCCTTAGTATTATGGAAAACTCTTTAAAAGCAATTAAATCCAATAGAAGAACACGTACATGGATCGAAACTAGTACAGATATACTCACCTACCTAGGTTATTTATCATTATGTATAATTAGTATATACAGCCTGTATAAAATAGGACTATTTGATTGTATAAAAAAGTCAATTCCTCGAAATTTGTGCATTAAACTTTGTTGCGTTTCTACCACCGTCAACACATCGCCTACTGTACATTATAGTCCCGTAGCAACAGCGCCAAATGATTATTGTAACGCCTCGTCAAGCAATGCAACTGTCAACAAGGATATCGTAATTGTACCAAAAAGGATTAAAATCAGAACTTAGAGACTAAGTTCATTCTAAATGGGGGGGTGTAACGAACATTTTCCAAGCTGTTTTCCTAAGTTCACAGCTTTCTCTTTTTCCTCCCCCATTTTCCAAGGACACATTCCTTGGACCATCGGTTCCCCCAAGGAATGGCCAAGGGGTACAAGACAGTTGTTTCCTAGCCCACTTACGAGTAGGAACCTTAATGTAATTCTACGGAAACTATTTAAAGTTAAACAACTCATTTGAATAAAGACTGAATATCTAAGGATATTCAATTATAAATTAAAACAAAAGTGTTACTTATTTAACCCGTCACACTTATTTAGAAATATTTGCTAAAGGCAGAATGAAGAATTTTAAAATAAACTTAGTAATCAACGTTTGATTCGACCAATCAAAACAGGAATTCTGAAATACACAAAGCTCTAGAATTTATTAAGGAGTAAGGCCACTATTCTCGTATAAAAAATGTCAAATATGGGAATTGTTTAAAAGAGTATACTATAAGCTATTAAATTTTCGTATTCAGTACTTTATTATCTATCCCAAAGTGTACCAAAAATATATTAAACACATTTTTTTCCGGTTTGGACAACTTTTTGAAAAGTGGTGTGCCTTCTATGAAAATGTTTTAAGTCTATGGCGTAAGATGCATCATACGGTGCGCATTCAATGCGCAACTACATTCTTCTTTATAAATTTATTAAGCGTATGAATGTTAATAATCGCCTTTAATACAGCTTTTAATGCAAACTTATAAAAATAGTTAATACAATAACGCTTACATGAAAAGCAAACATTATTCAGTTTACGTAATGTTATTTTATAACAAAGTATCGAATAGCGTTATAAAAAAATCAAAAATTTATAAACAAAAAAGTTATTAATGTTTTCTATAAAAAAGTCCGATTTTTTCAAATTTTTGCTTAATTTTCAATTTTTTATACTACAAAATATCAGAAAAATAATTCCAAATGTTACAAATAATGTGACAAAAATATATAAGCTACAAGATCGGACTACAGAGAAAATTTTAAAAACTCATTAAATTCGCTTGAAACTTGTTACTCGGGGGTTTTTGGGGTCGCTGATTACCCAGGAAAACAAATCTATTAATCAGGCCTTCTAGTGAATGAGACATTTTAAGAATGCGGATTTAAGCGATTTACTTTTAATCGGTTTCGGGAAATTTGAATCGGAATATTTTTCAGACATTTTTGAATCTGTATTTTCCCATTGACTAATTCGTCAATTTTATACACCTGAATAGTCTACGTTAGAGAAGCTAACCTTAAATTTTTTCAATAAGCATCTTCCAGTTAACAGCATAATAAAGCAAATGAGTAAAATTATTTTAGAAAAGGCAGTATGAAAATGTAAAGTTTAATAAGAAAGTTTCGATACAGACTGAATCGTCTTAAATATTATTGAATAGGTACTATAAAGGTTATGTTCTTTTAATAACGTAGTGCCTTTTAATTTATTTTGAAATGAAAAAACGCGAATTGGAAGTGAAAGAAGAACTTTTGAAATCTATACCTAACCTAACGTTGTGCGTCTCTCTGTATATTATATCAAATGCGTTCCATGTGGCTTCGGTTTGTGGCGTTTTTTGAAATACGGTTAATATAATATAATAAATAATGTGCAATAGTGGACAATTATGTTATCGAGTGCTTAGATTCGTAAATATTAAGTCAGCTTAGTAAAATATTTCAAGGTATTGGACAATTTTTATTATTGAAATTGAAATCTACGACGTTTGATGAACATTTTTATCACTTGAAGTGTTTGTATATTATAGTGCGAAAAAGTTTTCGAGTTCATAATACTTTTCATTTTTCTTCTTGTAAATATTTAATAAAACATTTATTTTGAAAAATAGTATAATATTAATTTATTTATCTGTAAACATTTTTATCATATACTATTCTCATTCGACGCCACCTCCGATTCATGTCACATTGTGAATCGGATAATAAAAAGTTTGTTATCCCGATTCAAATTATTGACGTCCTATTCAATAAGTAGTGCAAATAATCAGAATTAATCTGCCTTCGCCTTTTAAGAATGCGGATTCACGAGATCTTTCGGCCGATTCAAAACAAGCGAATAGATTTTTGTTTCCTGGGTACGAATCTAATGTCCAATTTACGAAATTCAAGATAACGGATCCAATATGGCAGAGGTATTTTCAAATTTGCTTTCTTGCTTAATATACTATTTTAACCTTTAATTATATTTGTTTGCAAAACACTGTTTTTAAAAATAGTCATTGCGCAGTTCACAAAACAAATGTGTTTGAATTTAACAACAGAAAATATTGCTCTTTAGAAAGTTATAAAATCAGACATTAGATACGTAATCAGCGAACCCAAAAACCCCCGAGTAACAGGTTTTAAGCGAAACTAATGAGTTTTTAAACAAAATTTACGCCATATTGGCGACTCTTAATACTCTCAAGTAACAAGTTTCAAGCTAATCTAAACACTTTTAACAATTTCGTACTTTCGGGTAAAATTTTGCAAAAAAATGTGAACTTCAGACTCCATTTTTGAGCCGTTATTTTAATTTTCTCTATAGTGCGATCTTGTAGCTTATATATTTTTGTCACGTTATTTGAAACATTTGGAATTATTTTTTGGCTATTTCGTAGCCTTTAGTATACCAAACTATAAATGTATATTTAATTTCAAATTAATTCATTATCAATTGACGAAGATACGATTATTTATGTTTAAAAAATCAATAAAATTTGTGAATTAAAAATTTTTAGTTTTATTTTTTTATTTTCTACAGTATTTATTTTACAAAAAAACGTCAAAGGAAAAAAAGATGCGGAATCTCATTTTCTACAAAATAAAATTTTTCAAAAATTAAAAATTCCAATTTCGATTTTTTCGACATTTTTGTACCTTTGACTGGCTTGGCAGCGTGAAGTCGAGCGGCAATCAGTTTCTTCGATCTAAGGCCTTATATATACTCGCAATTTTTCAAAAACGGTATTTTCAAAATCAAAATGCCCCTACATGATGGAAACATGACTTCACATTCATCTCCAAGCCATGTGTTTAACATGAACGTGTCACATACATATTAGTTCATCCTTTAGTCGGTGGAGCGCTACTTAAATTTTTTAAATTGACAATCAAAAACTTTTAAATAAAAAAGTTGTTTAGAAAAAATTATTTATAATTCTTACCGCTGCGAATGCAATCATATCCATGTTACAAAATTTTCCAACAGTTAAAGTTGAAGGTATTTGACCTCGGAGTATTATTGGCAAAATTAATTTTTGTCCATGAAGTGGTAAATTATACCATTCACTGTTATATCTGTTTAAGTTTGAAAATACATTACATCGTCAAAAGCCGGAAATAAAAAGCTGTCAATTCCGCACTTGCAGAAGATAATACGAGTCAAGTCCACCTTAAGTTAGTTTCAAGAAGACTATATACAAGTTACAAGATGAGTTGGATAGGTGCAAGAAATGGGAACAGGGTTGATGTGAAATGAATTGCACCAGAGATGAATTTGGGCTGTGCGCATACTACTTGTCTGCTATATTAGCTGATATGTATGTCGCTAGTATGCGCAGAACCCAAATTCATCTCTGGTGCAACTCACTCCAGGCCATCCTTCTTGGGTGGATTAGTAGAAAGAAAAATACGAAAAAAAGTCAAATTGGAGAAGATTTAAAATGGAAAGCATGAGTAATCCCTAACTGCCAGACAACCAAAAAGTCATTTAACGGAAAAATATTTAACATAATTGACATGCAACAAAATATTCTCATGCAACAGAATTGACATTTAACATAACACAGGCACACAAAAAAATAAAAAAGTCAAAACCCAGAGGTTACGCCCCCCTTTCCCCATGTTTTTGGGGTCGCTGAAACCGAATATGACCATGAAAATTTTTTTTCATCGGCCATTTTCCCGCTACCACTCCCTTACACCTGCTCCCGGGGGTTGGAATTTCAGTTTTAAAAAAAGTGGAGTAGGGTGTCTATTCCTATGTTTTTTGGGTCGCTAAAACCAAAAAAGACTACCAAAAACAAATTCTTCCCTCCATTAACCCCCTACAACCCCCTTAACACCCGAAAGGTGGGTGGTCGAAATTCGAATTTTCACGAAAAGTCGATTACGATGTCTAAACCTACGTTTTTTGGGTCGCTGAAACCAAAAAAGATTCCCTAAATCAAATCCTTTCCACCCCGATCCCCTACAACCCCCTGTAATAATTTTTTTCAAATAAAACGAACCGATTTTTGGGAGATTGAAAATTAAATATTAATTATCAAAAATTATTGCAGGGGATTGTAGGATGTTGAGAGTGGAAAGGATTTGATTTTGGTAGTCTTTTTTGGTTTCGGCGACCCAAAAAACGTAGGTTTAGACACCGTAATCGACTTTTCGTGAAAATTCGAATTTCGACCCCCCACCTTTCGGGTGTTAAGGGGGTTGTAGGGGATTAAGGGAGGGAAGAATTTGTTTTTGGTAGTCTTTTATGGTTTTAGCGACCCAAAAAACATAGGAATAGACACCCTACTCCACTTTTTTTAAAACTGAAATTCCAACCCCCGGGAGCAGGTGTAAGGGGGTGGTAGCGGGAAAATGGCCGATGAAAAAAAATTTTCATGGTCTTATTCGGTTTCAGCGACCCCAAAAACATGGGGATAGGGGGGGGGGTGACTTCTGGGTTTTGACTTTTTTATTTTTTTGTGTGCCTGTGTAATTAACATGATACAGAATTAACATGAAACAGAAATGTCAATAGTTAACATAATTGTCATGGAACAAAGTGACAATTGAACGCCTTGATGTAAGAACCAGACATAGCTCCGAGAGAAGAGTAGGGGGTAGTCCTTTGGCAATAAAATATCCAACTTCTAAAGTTTTGAATTTTCAAATTACATTTTTATAAAGACTAAAAAACTGCATCTTTTTTTCCTTTGAGAAAAAGATGTAGGATTAATATTTTTTTAAATAAAATTAAAAACTTGCTTTTTCTCAAACGAATTTTTAATTAAAATTTCATCTTCAAATCGCTGCCAAATCTACAATTTTCCATATTTTTAATAAAATTTGGAATAGACACACTTTATATTATCCTTTATCAGAATATATGTTGTAAACATTTATGTTTGTTTATAAACAAACTAAAAAATATTTATTAGCCAACGGTAAAATTTCAACACCATAATCTTTAAACTCTTCGTTCATCAAGGGAATTTTTAACAAATAAAAACTTCCAGGGAAGAAGTTGTTCAAAATAGTAGGGGAATGTAAGGTATCGTGGCGTGTAAGGTATGGTGGCGGACTTGTCAAATCTGGCATGTAACGTCACATCTAAAACGCCTTATCACTATGGTCGATGTCTTTTATTGTGATGATATTTTATATGCAGTAGTATTAAGGAGAAAACGCGTGCTTTGTACTCTAAGTGATTTTGAATAAAAAAGTAGTGAAAAAGAATAAAAAGTTTAATTGGATATGTGTGTTAACACTGCCAGAATGAAGATTTTTTGAAAATTGAGTCAGGTAAATGTATGAAATGTATTGTTTAGACCTTGGACAACAGTTTTTTGTATTTTACATTTTTCACAATTCGCGCTGAATAAAAGTAACACCATCATATTTTCATCAATAGCTTGTAAGGTATGATGGCGTAATTTTTGTAACGTACACTGGCGGATCATTTTTTTGCACGAGTTTCAATTGTCTTTACATTTTTTGTGTACTAATGCCTCTTGTGTTCCAACGCAACAATTCTCGAATATGAGACACTTGCGGTCTTCTCTTATTGTAGTTGCGTTAAAACAGTCACCAGCTACTTCACATGTCCAAATTGTAAACATAACTGAAGTGAAACTTTTTTTTCTATAATGTAAAATCATCAGTTTTTTCTCTTTTTGTTATTTTTTATCATTTCTAGTAGTTTTAATAAATTATTTTAACATCTACATAATGTTTTAGTTGAATACACCAATTCCGCCACCATACCTTACAACTTTCAAAAATAAAAAAATCAGTGTTTTGCGCCAAGAGTTTTAAAATATGACTGCATTTAAATTTTAACAACTGCTTCTGACAGAAATATGCTTAACAGACACAACAGACAAAATGTCCGCCACCATAGCTTACACTCCCCTATAAAAAAGTTTTCTGAAAATTATTAAATTATCAAAACTTATAGAAAAAAGTCCTAGCCAGCTAGGACTGCCTGTTTTTTCATTTTACAGCTTAGAATAATGAGAATAATTGATGTTTTTAATTACTATGAAAAATATTAATAAATTACTATTATTAACTACCACGTAAACATAATTTAATACAGTTTATACTTTGTCAAAAATGCTTAAAAACTAGCAAAAAAAAAAATATTTCTCATGTTGAACACATAGTTCTTCGGAATTTGACTTTTTAGTCTACTAAATGTAAACAAAAACACTGACATCGATGAAAACAGAACATTAATGTGCTTTTTTGGAAAATAATATTTTTTATATCACTTAGTATAAGAATAAATAAATTATTATATTAGCGTTAAAAATATCATTAAAATAATAAATATTAATTAGGGGAAGTGCGCCGGTTGTGGGCACCCTCCGGTTGTGGGCACCCCTACGTAAACTTCGACGGCAAGCAGACTTTACTGATCTAAGTATTGCAAGTCGTGTTCGTTGACAATACGGACTTTTCGTATTGATAACGAAACAAATATATGCATTTGTGTAATAGCTGTGAGCATAATAAAGAAAATTTGCATTAAATAAATAAAAAAGTAATTTTGTATTGTTTTCGAAGAGCAACATATGGGTGTAGATTCGTTCAGAAAAAAAAGGTTTAATTTTTTTTTTGCAGTGTTGTTATTATATTTTGTGATTTACCTTCGTGTTTAACCAAAATCCTGCATCACAAAATATGTTGGTCTTTTTAAAAAATGACTGTCATTCCCGGTTGTGGGCACCTTTATGTTAAGGAGGTTCTACCATCTGACAATGATGAGGACTACTGTCTCATCTGTCTAAACTTTCTGCCAAGGAAAGTGACAGCCGCAAACTCCATTAAATGCGATGAATATAGTCGTTCAGTGCATTAGAAGTGCGTTATGTTATGAGTACTAGCTACTTCACATGCAAGCATTATGCTTTTGTTAGCTATGAGCATAGTGTGAAAACGTGTCATCATTTTTGTTCTTTATCCCAGCAAATTCTCTTAAAATAAAGAAACTTTCATTTCTTCTTTATTTGTGTTGGTTTCCTTTAATATTTTTCCATTTTTAGCGGATTTTTCAAGGGTGCCCACAACCGGGTACAAAATTTTTTTTGTCAAAAAATTCCCATTTCACTAAATTTCTAATAAAACTTTTTTATTTAAAGGAATCAATTTAATTCCTTCACTGACAGTCACCTTAGACCTCTAGCTTTAAATTCGTACACATATATTTGTATAATATGCACATGGACAAATGTTATGAGGCAAAAACAAAAGGGTGCCCACAACCGGAACACTTCCCTTACATATTTAATTTTAAAAAGAAAAGTGTTTACATCTATTAAATTTTTTCAAATTAATATTTCTTTTATACAGTCAACTCTCGATAAGACAAAGCGCGATAACTCAATTTTCTCGGTAACTAAAAGTAATTCTTGGGTCCCGTTCATTCCCTTTACGCATTATTAACATTTGATAACACAGACTTTTCGATAACTTAAAAAATTTTCGGTCTTCCTTCGAGTTTGTCTTATCGAGTTTACTGTATTTATTAATATTTTTCATTGTAGTTAAAAACATCAATTATTTTCATTATTCTAAGCTGTGAAATGAAAAAACAGGCTGTTACGAACCAGGAAAATTAGAAACTTTAAATTTTCAAAAATTATTGACAAATTTTAAATTGTGCCTTTAATTGCTGTCCGAATCAAAAGAATAAAATTTCTACCGCGCGCCTGCGGAGGTTCGTCAGTGGAATGAAGCTGCCAGGGCCAGATGGCCCTGTTTTTATTTGTAGGTTCGTTTTTCTCTATTACAAGAGTTTGCCAAGCAGCATCCTTTTCAATTTTAATTTTATTAATTGATAGAAGAGAAGTGAAATAGGAAAAATTAGTCGAAAGGAAAAGATTAATATTCACTTTATACAATAAATTTATTTAAAGGTAAATGAATTTAACAATCTATCCGAATCAACTTCTCACTCAGCACTTAATTTCATGTATCGACAGCACAGCTATCCTAAATACAGAAACCTGCCTTCTTGAAAAATATTTTTCGAAATTAATTAATAATCTCTAAAATATCAAAGAATTAGGAAAAAATCGGGGGCATGGTGAGATACGAACCCACGACCTTTCTATTGCCGGTAGACTGCTCTGACCAACTGAGCTACATGCACCTCCGAGATCTTCCCAACTCTTTGATACTTTTATACTTCTACTTTATTTCATGGTAAGGTAGAAATTTTATAAAGTGATAATTAAGCCAATTTAGATTCAATGGCGAATTTTTAAATTTTAAGATGAATTTATCATTCGGTGGTATATATAATTAAAGGTAAATGAATTTAACAATCTATCCGAATCAACTTGATGAATCACCGAATGATAAATTCATCTTAAAATTTAGTAAATTTATTGCTGAATTTTTAGAAATTACAATTGATAAAGACTTAAAGAGAAAGAAAAATAGAAAAATTAAAGGAACTCGATCTTCACACTTTAAAAACGACTTCCTTATCTCCTACCGTCGGAACTTAATTGTTTGCGGGCGAATATTCTCTTTTATTGTTTATGCCTTTAGGCCATCAAATTTGGGTGACCCAGGCAGGCACACACGCACAAACAATTTACAATTTAGTAACGAAATTACAAATCAGACATGCACTTATGCACTGAATTTTATATTTCGAACTTAGCTCAAATTTTTAGTCCGTGAATTTAAACTTTGCGCGTGATTTTTATTTATAGACTTGAATTAAAAAATTTTAATTTCAAAGTTTTAAAACAACGAAAATAATTAATTTGGGTCGGATAAAAATATTCCCCCCTTTTTTTAATTTTACAATAATTACATATATACACATATATATATACAATATATACTCATAACCCATTCAAGATATTCGAGGATATCCAATTATAATTTTTTTGTTTTATGACATCCAGGTGAGTCGCGAAGAATAAAATTTTTGAAGAATTTCTTTTTGAAATTTTATAATAATCATATATGGTGCACATGCATACAATCATAATATTTCAAAAATTAATGTATCGTAATATATAAATTCACATACATATAGCCCATGCAGGATATTCTGGGATATCCCCGAACATTCAATTATAAATTTTCTTTTTTAATGCCATCCTTAATTTGTTTTAATTATTTAAAAATGGGAATGTTGCAATCTAGCGGAAACTATTCAGGCCGATGCGGCAAGCCCCTTTTTATAGATCGCAACATTGCGCTTCGTGGTTTTTCAAAATAGGAATGTTGCAACCTAGCGGAAACTGTTCAGGCCGATTCTGCAAGCTTCTTCTTTTAGGTCGCAACATTGCGCTTCGTGGTTTTTTAAAATGGCAAAGCTGCAACCTAGCGGGAAACTGTTCAGGCTGATGCCGCAAGCTTCTTTTTATAGGTCACAACGTTGCCATTCACGGTTATTCGAAGTGGGAACGTTGCCGCAATTTTTATTGATGTTTTCCCATCAACCATATCTCATTTCAAACCCTTTTTAACATTCTTTTCCCATAATTTTGATGAGAAAATGCATTGACTTTAATTATTTTTTTTGTTTATAACTATTCTTTGGCTAGTTATAACGAAATGATAAAATAGACTAACTTCGTTTCCGGTGCGGTGCTGACGTAAGCTTGTGCTTTGTGATATCCAAGGATATCACCTTTCAGCTGAGCGTAGGTTTGACTTCTTCACTGGAAGTTTTTATTTGCTCAAAATTCCCTCGATGCACGAAGAGTTTAAAGATTATGGTGTTGAAATTTTACCGTTGGCTAATAAATATTTTTTAGTTTGTTTATAAACAAACATATAAATTTTTACAACATATATTCTGAAAAAGGACAATATAAAGTGGGTCCATTCCCAATTTTATTAAAAATATGCAAAATTGTAGATTTGGCAGCGAGTTGTAGATGAAATTTTAAATAAAAATTCGTTTGAGAAAAAGCAAGTTTTTAATTTTATTTAAAAAAATATTAATCCTACATCTTTTTCTCAAAGGAAAAAAGATGCAGTTTTTTATTCTTTATAACAATGTAATTTGAAAATTCAAAAATTTTGAAGTTGGATATTTTATTGCCAGGGGACTACTACCCACTCTTTTCTTAGAGCTATGTCTGGTTCTTGCATCAAGGCGTTTAATTGTGTTAAATGTCAATTCTGTTGCATGACAATTATGTTAAATGTTAATACGTTGCATGAGAGTTGTGTTAAATGTTAGTTCTGTTGCATGGCAATTGTGTTAAATGTCAATTCTGTTATGCATGGAAATTAGTTTAAATGTCAATTCTGACGAATGACAATTTTGTTGTGGAATATTCAAACGTCCCGTGAGAATCTACTTAAGATTATGTTATTCCGTTATTACTAAATTATTATCTGCTACCTTGTAGATAAAGCTAAAAATCCAAGTTGCTTATAGTATAGTAGCATAGTGGAATTACATAGTTACTTGACTTGTATTATTCCTTACGATCGTTTCAAATATACTTACGTTCCTTGTGCAATTAATAAACTACTATCTAATAAGCTTTGAGCCGGTATAGTTAAACAAAATAGATTAATCATAAAAGCACTAGCAAAAATTCCATATTTAATGGCCAAAGTAGACTCATTAATTGAGTTCAAAGTCTACAATTAAAAAATGTTATTTATTGCATTAATTTAAAAGTTATTTACAATGAAAAAGAATTTTAATTTGTAGATATTACAGTAAAAACACGCGAATTTGGATAGATATGGATGTATTCAGGGATAGCTTCAGGGATAAGATCATATATATCTACATCTCAGTAAAAAATAATAATTAAAGGAAAAATTTATTAATCGGTAAGATTTTATCGAAGGTGGAAGATGCTAACAATTTCTCCGAATACCTTTGATAAAAAAGAATTATTAGGCACGCGAAAAGGCGAATTAGACAGACGACTTGACCAATTCGTTTTGCTGCATTTGGGTAATTGGACCGTTTATTCAATTAGCCTTTGTTATAGGTCCAATTGTCCTAAAAGTTTTCTAGGCTTAAAAAATATGAGTTTTGCTTTAATACTGTTAAGAACTAAAAGAAATAGATAAGTATTCTTTTAAAAAGGAATGAAAATTCCTATAAGAGAAAAATAAGAAAAATTCGAGTATTTAGTAAAATCACTATGCTTATGTTGAAAGCGCTTTGCAGTATAGTTATAGTGACATATGGCAAAGAGTAAAGAAAGTTTTTTTTATCAACAGTGGATGTTTATACTGACAATTGTCTCCTCTCACCTTTGAGGGGAGTTACATCGTCAAAGAAAATCTTGCAGTTCCCTCAAACATCATCCTTCAACCTTGGACTTAAAATTAAAGGGAGATATAAATGTTCATATAACATATGAATCCTGGTTTGTTAATTAATTAAATTTTTAATGCAACTTTGTTTTTATTTTTACTGCTTGAAGGTATTCTATACACAACTTATACCTATATTTTGGTTATAAATATTGTATATTATGCTTTTAAAACTTCGCGCTGCCTTATGCGCATGTGTAATTTTACGAGCCATCGCGTCTGCGTATGCCTTTTCTTTTGTTCACTTGTAAAAACGATTTTTCTAAGTAAAGAGTTAAACTGAAATCGTTTACATTTTTACTTGCATTTAACCCCAAATTACATTAGGTTATGGGCCTAGGACGTTACTCGGGCAAGTAAATGGTGAATCACGGGCCGCTACGGAGGTTATTTACGTGAATAGTGTGATACGCGAAATTTTCGTAAAAAAGACGCTTTCTTTTCTCGTGTGCGAGTGATTCGTTGTGAAAGAAAAATGGCTGATCTGATTTCAACGCGGCATATGAATAAGTTCAATGGTTCAAACTATCAAATATGGAAATTTCAACGCGAGTGAAGCCCAGGGTCGCCGGTAACGAGCTAAATACTTGGAAGAAAGACGACGCCATTGCTAAGTATTTTATTTCCTTGACTATGGAACCCGCTCATATCGAAAGCATATTGACAAGTAGTTCGAGCCAAGAGATGTGGACGAAGCTCGCTTTAATACATGAGCAAAAATCGGAAACGAATATACTCATTATGACGCAACATTCTCACAAGTATAGGATGGAATCGAATGACACGATATCTCAGCACATTTCAAAGGTGCAAAATATGTCCGCGCAACTCAAAGACGTCGGTGAGACAGTTTCTGACGTAGCGATAATGGAAAAATTTTAGCCAGTCTGCCTTTTAGATTCAACGCTTTAAAAACTGCGTAGGACAGTGTCGATCCTGCGAGACAGGCATTAGAATATCTCCAGGAAAGATTGCTGAAAGAAGAAACCAGATCCTTGCCAGATGACGGCGCGATGTCGGCGTTCGCAACTTTTTCGAAGAACGCGAAAAAGTTTCAGAAAAAAGAAAAGAGATTTGTCAAACGTCGAATGTTTTTTTTGTCATAAAAAGGACATTTCGCCTGTCAGTGTCGCACAAGAAAAAGAAGAAAAATGACCCAGCAAAGAATAAAAATGACCAGAAAAACGACAAATCGGATGATTGTGCATTCATTATTACCAATGGCGAGAAATCTCGCCAATCAATCGAGAGATTCGATACGATGGACGGTGGTGACGTGTGGCTTCTTGACAGTAGCGCTTCTAGGCACATTTCCTTCAGACGTGAGTGGTTCACAGATTTTTCTATTGCCTCCGGTGAATATGTCGTGCTCGGTGATAACGCAAAATGTGAAGTGCGCGGCATTGGAACTATAAAGATTCGGAAATTTGTGAATAACGAGTGGATTTTTTCAACGATAGAAAATGTTCTATACGTTCCGAAACTTTAGAAAAATTTATTTTCGGTTAGAGTGTGCGTGGCGCGAGGTTTCGATGTGACATTTTCGGAAAATCGCGTAGTGATCTCAAAACACGGAAAAATCGTCGCGGAAGATGTGAAACAGGCAAACGATATTTATCAAATGTTCTTTGCCATGCCTCCTGTTGCGGAGACTGCACAACGGAGATGAATGTGAGTGAATCATCAGCTGATTTGAGGTTATGGCACGAAGGTTTCGGGCATGCAGAAAAAGTAATCATTCCGACTTGTGCGGGCCGATGCACATTGAGTCGCTAGGTGGCGCTAGATATTTCGTTTTGTTTGTTGACGATGCTTTGGGATATGGGCAAATCTCTGGAAACTTTAACATTCAAATTTTAATTTTTTAAAAAAATTTTTTGTGTGCACAATTTTGATATTTTTGGTCTTACATCTTTGACCAAAATAAATTTCATTTTAATTACTGTACAACCATTATTTTGTTGCCTTCTATTTTAAAATATAAATTTTTGGAAAGAAAATAATGTTAGGTTATCTAAATCTGTAACAAGATATACGTAAACATTTTATCTCCTACACTTAAGTAAGTTATTTCTCAGTATCACAAAAACATAATTAAACATGAAAATAAATATAATAAACGTCTAATACAACTAATAAGGACAAAATCCCAATAAAAAAATTTAATGACAATTTTTTACGTATAATTATTTGAATTAGTAACATGAAATTTTCTAATTATTTGATTGGCTGAATTGTTTTGAAGAAATATCGAGGATCTTAATATAACCTTGAAAAAACACTAACAGTTTCATGAACGTTTAATAAAAAATAAATAAATATTACTTAAGTGCCTTCCGTTGATAAATTTTTCATTCCGCGTTTACTTTTTCTCGCTTTTTATTTTCTTTTCTTTGATTTTCTTTCATTTTGTCACTTTTTATTACATTTTTGGTTACTTCATGATAAATAACACGAAACAAATAAATGCGAAACTTCAGATTGATTGGAAAACTATTGATTTGACCAAGCGACATATTTGACGAGCGACAATTTGAATATCCACGTAAAAAAAATAATTAAATAAGAATTAGAATAAATAAAAACATATGTACAGTTTTAAATACATCTAAAGTAATATGTGCCCCAATTTTGGAGCAAATTAAATAAGAAACTTTGGAGAAATTAATGATTTGACCAGCGACATATTTTTCGTACTACACCAGTATCACAAGTATCCAACAATTATTTTGCTTAAAATATAGTTCAAAATAAAAATAAAAATCACGCACATAAAATTTGAATTACTATTCAATTGTGCCTCTTATTTCAAATTTTTTCATTTAGTTTTTAAATGTTTATTTTATAAAACCATTTTGATTTGACCAGCGACACAAAAACTGAGGGACACTTTTTAGAAGATTATATCTTTCATAATTTTTACTTTTTATTTTTTTTTAAGTTTGTTTATGGAATTCTTAAGATATTTTTAAATAGTTTATAACAGTAAAAAACGTGTTTTTCAAAAAAATCTTATTTAAACAGTTAAAATACTTTTAGAAAAAGTGAAAGTGACATTTGCAAACTCATGGTATTGTGAACTTTAATAAAGAAAAACATAGAAAAAATAAACAAAATAATTTATATTAATGGTTAAATCTTAATCCTTATTTTCTTTTTAAAAACATGTAAATATTTAAAAATCGTTAGTTTTTATATTTAGGCTGTTTAAGTGAAAATAATGTGAGGGACATAAAGGTTAAAAGTTCCAGAGATTCGCCCATATAAAACTGTGTACTTTGTGCGTTCAAAAGATCAAGTTTTCGAGAAATTCCGCGAGTTTGCTACGATGATAAAAAACAAATTCAATCGATCTATAAAAGTTTTCCGAAGTGACAATGGATTAGAATAAATGTAAACGCCAAGCTTAAGAATTATCTCGCCATTTGAGTTTTGGAACAACGAGAAACCCGAGCTTAATTACCTTCGTGTTTTTGGAAGCGTTGCATACACGCACATTCCAAAACAATTTAGAAAGATATTTAACGCAAAGTCGGAAAAACGCATCATGGTTGGATATCAAGGAAACTCGAGTAACTATAGAGTCTACGACCCGATCACAAAGAAAATAGCTGTGTCTAGAGATGTTATTTTCAACAAGAAATTAGATAGTGACATTATTTCATCGAAAGGTTATAATTACGAAAGCGCCTATACGCCACTGTAACCGAATAGCGTATGTGTGCATAAAGTAAGGTACAAATGCAAGAATTGCGTGCGAGGGACCCCCTTAGGCTAGCTGAAATTTCCTAGAATAGAATTAATTGCGAGCGAGCCTACCCCTTAGGCTAGCTAAAATTCGTTAAAATTAAACGACTGTGTGAAAAGGAGGTTGTTTTCTTTCCTGAAACATTAATTAAAATTAATTTTTTTAAACATTTCTTTTTCACAAATTGGAAAAAAGAAATCTTGTGAGGTAATAAGTTAAATTTATTTGGAAAAAAAGTAAAATTATCAATTTAACTTCAAAATTATTTTACTTTTTTTCCAAATAAATTTAACTTATTACCTCACAAGATTTCTTTTTTTTAATTTGTGAAAAAGAAATGTTTAAAAAAATTCATTTTAATTAATGTTTCAGGAAAGAAAACATAACCTCCTTTTCACACAGTCGTTTAATTTTAAAGAATTTTAGCTAGCCTAAGGGGTAGGCTCGCTCGCAATTAATTCTATTCTAGGGAATTTCAGCTAGCCTAAGGGGGTCCCTCGCACGCAATTCTTGCATTTGTACAGTAGGTTTCAAAAATGCCTTCCTAGTATAAACGTGT